GCTCTAAGTAGAGTCTTGTTAGCTCAGCATCCGTCCTTGTCCTCCAGATTTCATAGGCATAAATTGGACCATAAATTCTCCTCTTGAACTTTAGGAAAAGGGCTTCCTATGGACTGGGTAATGTCCAGCATTCGGAGGCATAAATGAGAACTGGTCCGCCCAGATTTCCTTTTTAATTTTTCCTTGAGGAGGAATTATTGCACCTGAATTTCTCATGAGACAATATGCCTACCCATAACATTAATAAAACAAATATGATTTTTTTACCTCCAGATTCTATAGAAACATAATGGCACATATGAATCACACTAAAACTGTGAGGTTGAATTTTCACTCTGCAAAGAAAAGAAAATTATACAAGAAGCCATTGTGCCATATTTAAGTTTTTTGTATAATCTAATTTGAATCCTCGTAAAGATTTAAATTAAGTATAAAATGTATTCGAGAATGGTCCTAGATATATAAATGGAAGGGAATTAAATATGTTTATTTATTTTAGGAAGGAAGTGAGAACCGCGCCAAATACTGGCCGAAAGACTATTGGACCGAAAAAACTGTTGTTAATTGTGTATTCTATATGGGGTCTAGAGAATTTGTCCAAGTCGTTTTCGATTTACATTAAATTATATGTTTAGAAATCTTTTGAAATAATTTAGTTTCATTTTAAAGTTTAGAGTGTTCACGATAAATTTCTATTAAAACTCTCCGAGCGTATACAAATAATGGTTCTTGTAAATACTAATTTTTAATAAAATAAATGAGATGAAGAAAGAGAAAGTTTATTTTCAACATAATATATTTTGTTTGCGAATATAAATATGAGGGGCGATCCCTTTGATATTTTTAATTTATCTTTCCAGGCCATTAGAATTAAAACATTCAAATATACAACTTAGCGACAAATACATTTATATATATTTATAGATATGAATAACGATCTGTCAGCTCGGTGCTATTTATATTACAGATATAACCCCAAAACTAGTAACGTTATACACAATTTAATCTTTCCTATCCGATATTGAAGTAATTTAGTTTTAAAACGCTTTCTATAAAAATACTACGATTTTATCAATTGTTAACTTTGGATTAAGTATTTGTAATTCTTCAACTCACGTACCGTCCAAGTAGTTTACTTTGATGCTGAAATGATGTCAATAATTTGTGTTGCTAAATCTGGCCCACTAGCGGTAGTCAGAGGCGCGAAAGGTCTGTCAGTAAAAGAGGAGATTATGTTGTGATGGGTAGCTAAAGTCCAACAGAAGGAAGAACAATTTTTTTTACTTTCCTACATATACTAGGTAAGGAAAGTATTGCGATCAGGTCAAATTTCCAATATGCGGTTTTTGACGGATCTATACGTTTCAGAACCCCCTGAATTCGAAAAACACATTTTTAGCCATTGGTCTGTCTGTTCCAAGATTTACCCGGGAACTAGAGAACCGATTTTGTTGCATCTTTTTTTATTCTGTAGGGTTTTGACTAATGATGCCTGTAACACAAATTTGGTGCTCCATGCGCATTAGCTGCTGCGCAATAAATTAAAAAAATGTTATTCGATAGACTGTAGTGCGAAAACGGCTATTTTGATGAAAGCTTCCAATAATGTTCTAATAATTGTCCTTCCAATTATCCTAGATGGACTAAATGCCTGGAAAAATGCATACTCGCTAAGTAGATATTCTATGGTAAAATTAATAATAAAACTTTATACACGAAATATAAAATAAAACGAAAGATATTCCTTAAATTCCCTACAAAGCTATATAAAAATCGGTCATTTCGGACAACTATTAACGAAGATACAGCTATTCAATTTCTAATGAGTTCTAAGAGATTCCTAGAATAGACTCTTCAATCAAATAGCTTTGATGAAGATCTGAACTTTAGATGGAAACGTCGGCAATTGTTAAAATAAATATTATTATTTATTTTTGCCATTTTATTTCTGACTGATCACCCCAACCATCCATTATTCACGACAGTCAACTATCAACCCACAATAATGAATACTATGAAAATTGTTCGCACCAACTAGTCACATCTTATACTATATTTTATTACTCCTTAAGAAGACAATATTTCCTTGGCACTTTCCTTTATCAAATCATTACCGACCATCGTCCTTCTTATGCCTACAACCTTCTCCAATTTAAGTCCTCAATCCATTCACTCACTACAAGATCCCGACCCTCTGACCTATACATCCCTTCTCATAGATCTGCCTCATTCCAAAATTCCTTTATAGCCCGCTCTGTCAACTTTTGGAATTCCCTCCCGATCAAAATTCGACATGCCCCTTCCCTTTATACATTCAAAAACCTCCTATTCCAATTCCTGTTCCAAAAACAGTCTGATACCAGCTAACTATTGATATTATATATGTATTGTGTAGCAATCATATAATCATAACACTTGGTAAGAGATAGTACATGCATTTCCTACTATCGACGTAGGAATTTCAATACATACATTTTTTTATATTTTTTTTTTTTATTCAATTATAAGTAACTGTTTATTTTTATATATATATTGAAGTAAAGTTTTTTTTTTTTATGAAATGAACTCATTGTATCTCTTTTTCGTTCTTCATTTCTCTAAGTGTATGTTTATGTTGTTCAACCCTTAAATATAATTTTGTTCATAGTTCAAGTGATTCGTTCATAGTTTTAATTGTTTTGTTCATAATTTTAAATGCTCTGTATATAGTTTTATCTGTTTGTATATAGCTTGTGCACCTAAGGTTTTCTTTACTTTTTATTTTATTTTATCAATTTTATTTATTGTTTCAACGTTCAGGCCAGTAATATTCTATTATTTTGTACATTATTGTTATTCTGAAAGGACTTAGTCCCAGAATAAAGTTTTTTTTTTCTATCTATCTTTCTATCTATATAATTTCTCATTTGTTTAATTTAATTTTTTTCATATGCTTCAATTGCCAGTGCTCCTAGTCTTAATCAAAAACGTAGTCTTGGCCTTGTTGTTTTATTTTCGTATAACGCAGAGCAACACTGCCTAATTGTAGCAACCAGGTCAAAACTGGCTAAGTATCGTTTTGGTCTTGCATTTGGCTACACTAAGTGCTTCGATAACCTCCTTTCCTTCATATTCTATCCTTTGTTTTGATACTTTAAAAACATGCTGATGTCCGAGCCAAACAAGGCTCCTAGATTAGGTAGGCCATAGTAGGTCATACCTCCCTCAGGGAATAAATTTCTTAGTGCAAAAAGATGCATTAAAACAAACCTAACAGATAAGATGCAACCATTTTACCAACAGAAGATCACCTGATCTTCTACGGCACTAGTAGGCTAGTAGGTTGCCGCTTTCCGATCAATCACTTGCTCAATCACTTCGACTATCCACAGATGGGCAAATGCTACTCTGAGTACTGATTATTTCACTCAAAACTAACCTTGTTTGATTACAACTTCAGTTGATATCAAACGATTAACTGAAGTAATGATTGAATTCAAAATAGTGATTCAACTTGAGTAAAACACTTGGTACTCGTTATTCAGAGTAGCATTTGCCCATCTCTGCAACTATCTTAATGCTCACCTAATGAAAGTCATGACCACACGGCGTAAAAAAACAAAAAGTCTGCCAAGTAAGGTCAGTATAGCTTCCTCACCGTTTGCATTGGCTAAAAAATATCTATACTACAAGGTGTAAAATTTTTCGCGTGACAATAAAACCTCTAGAAGAAGCCGTTTTCGGAAATTCAGTAAACCCTCAACATATACAGGTTGAATATCCACGAATTTTGATCCTCAGCGAATACTAAAATGCGAAAAAGATCTGCATAAGTAGATTGCTTATTTGCTGATTCGGGATTAAAAAACAAATCCAGTACATATTGAACATGAATATCATTATCTATATCATCACAAAAAACTACTTGTTTCTTTATGATTTATTAGTATAATTTCATAATTTATTGTCCTTTGCTATCTTTCATCGTAGCAGAATGCTTATATATTGATGCTGATATTAGTAGCAGAACACAAAATGTCATCTTTAGCACAAATATAATTAAAAGTTGAAAATGTTTACATACGATCTTTTGCGCTAACAGTAGTAATATCTACTTAATCGGCATGCTTTCACTCTAAAAATGGATGGTACAAAACATCCATAAGAAAAATTAAACTTTCATTTTCAGAGTTAACGAGACCAATACTTTTCTTCAGTCAGAACAAAACTATTTAAGCTGAAATTAAAAAATATATGTAAAAATCACACAGAAACTCGATACCACGACGAGGTAGTTGAAGTTCAATAGAAATAAACATAATCACAAATAAGATTATTCTTTTTTACAAACTCAGAGTAAAAATTAATTTAAATTTATTGAAAATTACACGCAATCGAAGTAACAGTAGGAAGTGCCGTTAAAGTTTAGAATCGACAAAACAATACAATAGAGATTAACTCTTTTAAAATTTTATAACCCTATAAAAATATCGTCTTAACCTAACTTCCAATCCATATGATCAGTGCCTTTCACATTTCACTGCCATTATATTGTTAACAATTATTTATATTAATTTTAATTATTAAATGGCATTAAATGAAATTCATGCTAGGTAATTTCTACACTATTCTCCAAAATTCCTCCAAGTTTGAGTCAAATTGAAGAAGCAGTTTTCAAACTATAGGTTTTTCAAAAAATAATAAAACGAATCTCTAAATACAAATAGCACACAATTTGTAAAAATGTATTTTATAACAATAAATCCGCAGCTGTGTTTGAAGCTAGGAGTATGCGGTTATTAAGAAGATCTGGAACCGTTTACCCTAGAGCCGAAGACAGCCTCCAAATAACTAATATCGAACACGAAGCGCGAAATGTCAGAGCGGCTATTCATTAGCCGGCCGAGGAAGATAAATTAAAAATAACCCTTGAAAGAAAGGAGCGTGGCTGAGAGGAGGCGGGGTCTATTCTTAGTCCGTATAGGAAGTAGTTAGTGATGCCTCGCTTGCTAAGGACAATCTTAGGATCGGTTCATTAGTCTCGGCAGGATAATGATACTTTGGTCATCGATAGGATCGCTACTGCGTGGGTGGACGGAGAGTACGGGGGGGGAGGGGAGGATCTCCAAGGGTAGGGAGGGGGTTATCCGAGCTTCGACGGGGATATCTGGCATTTAGATAACAATAGGAAGAAAAAGAATTTAGGAAGAATCTAGTATTTCAAATTAAAAAAAAAATTATTAAATAAAATCTTGAACTAGTACAACCCACGAAGCGTATTGTGCACTAGCGGATCCTAGGGAGGGGTGCATGTCTTCCCCCCTCTCTCTCATCCTTGGAAGGTGAGAAAAAATTGTATCTTGAAAAAATAACTACAACAGAGTTTTAATTATATAAATAACTTTTGAGTATGAAATTCACCTTTTTCACAAGTGCAACTCTCCCCTCTCCCCTCTCCCTGAGATAATATCTGGATCTGGCACTGGTCCTTTGTTATAACTCTGTTTGGCAGTAACAGTTTCAAAACCGATGGTAAAGCGAGGAGGTCACTCGGTTGTCTCTTAAACCATGTGTGCCCACTTTATAGAATCTGGATCAATCCACTTTTACTACTAGTCCTATGAGTTAGGAGCGTACAGTTTCACAATCTTATTTAAACTATCCTATTTAAAAAGTACAAAGTCTAGTATTGTTTTATTAGGAAATGAGGAAGATTCGGTACTTGTATAATACCGGGTAGCGTCAAAAGCTCCCTTGTTATCTAATATTATCTCACATAACCTCCCTTATCTCCTCTCACATAAGTTATTCCCTTTTTTATTTTTTGTTCCTCGTGTAAGCTGTGAGTTAGTCTTCTTTAATTATGGATGTTGTCACATTGTCGGAATCACCGTCTTCAGAAGAAGAGGCTGTGAAATATTTTCAAGACGCCGGGATATTTGCAAATGTCAAATATTGTGATGAAGGTTACATTTGTTTTTATTTTTGTTCACAATTTCAATAATATGAATATAATACAATAAATATGAATACGAAGATATAATAATATGAATATAATACAATAAATATGAATACGAAGATATTATCAGTGGCATATCAGAGTTATCATTTTTAAGGTTATAAACATTGGCAGATAGCAGTCGGACGCTACCCGCTATTATACAAGTACCGAAGATTCTTTAGGGAAAAGATTAGGCTTCCAATTACAAAAAGTTCCTTAGCCCAAGATAATTTTGGTCCTCCGGGCCGGATTCAAGTTTTCAATAAAAACACAACTTCAAATAGTGCCTTTTTAACAAAGTATAACATAGTTCATTAGCCTAGCTCCGGCAGACGGTAAAGTACTATTAATATAAAAAACTAAAATGGAAGTTGCTAAGGACAAACGCTAACTAGATAGTACCTGTGGTAAGAGGATTTGACCTAGTGAGAGAAATTTATTATTGAGAGCTCACTTTTCTTATAGTCTCACTGATTATTTAAATACAACTTATGGAGACCGATGGGTTGGTCGAAAGGAACCTGTTAAATGGCCATCACGATCTCCGGATTTAACACCATTAGATTATTTTGTATGAGGCTGGATGAAGTCTACGGTTTATTCTGCGGCAGTTTTCACGCAAGAAGAGCTAAGAAATCGAATCGTGGAAGCCGCAGTAACTATCAATCACCATCCTGATGCTATACGAAGAGCCAGAGAAGAGCAATGGATTGGTCGTGCTAAATGTTGCATTCAACAAAACGGAGGCCCCTTTGAACAGTTACTTTAAATGTTGTAATAATAATAAATAGTACTGGAATACCCTCAGTGTTCAAACAACCTGAAGATCTTTGACCACATGTTTGGGTTGAAACGTTGGCATAAATAAAAAATTTTCATTTATTTATTAATTTGGACTGCGTTCTGAATATTTGGCACCCATGATATGAAGAACAATCGACTAACTTCCTTCAATAATAATAAATACATAATAATAATAAATAATAAATCTTTAACCTTTGATATCTGTTTAATAAATGAGTTTGAGATAGATGAAGATATGAACGTTTTTGTTTATTTTGTGTCAGTGAACAAATACCTAAAACAGTGCCGCGCAATTACGAAACACTCTCTCTCTCTCTATATATATATATATCTTTTTTTTTAATATTTTAAAAATGTATCATCAATCTGCTTATGGCCTTATCACATTGATCGAAGTAATATAACAGACTAAAATGGAAGTGGCTAAGGACAGACGCTAACAAGACAGGATTTGACCCAGTGAGGGAAATTTATTTTTGAGAGCCGTAAAGCTTTCACTAAGCGGATACTAATGAAGGTGGCAGAGGATCACAAATCCAGAAGGCACAACAATAACTCACCCCCCGGCCCCCAGAGAGCACTGCTAAGAGCGCTTTACATTTAATTGACAAGACCTACAAGCCCAGCCCGGCATCAATCCTCTCTAGTATACGGCCTCCTACCTAGCCCGGTAGTAGCTCGCCTCTTTGATCTCCCCACTAAATATACCACTGCTCCTCGGCTTTGACTTTACTATTTAGGATGCTTCAATTAGTAATCAATTTAAATTGCGGGAGGGGAGGGGGGGGGAGGTGTTTATAAGTCTGGAGGAGGCGAGTTGCACTGCTCAAAGGCTGACATATTTAATCGGATATTTTTAGCAGGTGAGGATTATTTAACGATTCAGCGACTGAGCTAAAGTAGCTTTCAACTGACTTCTCTTGAGGTCACAGGCGGATCTACGGGAAGGGGGAATATGGGGACATTCGAGCAAAAGCTCCCCCCCCCAAAAAAAACGGTAAAATATAACCATGTTTTATTGAAAAAAAAAAAAACATTTCTTAAAGTATTATTGTTCGTATAATTACATTTACTAGGAGTTCAAGAATCACTTAAACACCATTTCACGGCACTATTTAAGTATGTGTTCACTAACACAAAATAAAAAAAAAAGTTCATATTAACATGTATCTCAAACTCATTTATCAAACAGATATCAAAGGTTAAAGATTTATTATTTATTTACTACATTAAGACTGACTGTACAAACTTTAACCTTTTTAATACTAAATGACAGGTTTTAATCACCAAATAAACAAATGAACGATAAGCAATGACAGTAGTTGCTCATCTGTTTGTCCAGTTCTGTGTGTTTTAGTGTGAGCGAATACTGTGACACAAATCAATTTATGGTCATCATGGGAGACATCATAAATATATTCACATTTGTAGAACAATCAGGTACATAGAAACGATGCTGAACTGTTCGAAAATATCGTGAAAACTTTCCTAACCGAAGAATGCCAAATCATAAAACGTTCGATGCCATTGAAAGAGGCCTTAGGGGTAATGACACTCTAAAACCACGAGTGAACGCGTATTTATTTATTTATCAGGTTATTAAAACCTGTTCTTTAGTATTAAACACTTTAAACTTTGTACAGTCAGTCTTAATGTAGTAAATATATAATAAATCTTTAACCTTTGATATCTGTTTAATAAATGAGTTAGAGATATATGTTAATATGAACTTTTTTGTTTATTTTGTGTTAGTGAACACATACCTATAATAAGTTCGTGAGATTACAAAACACCCTGTGTATATGAAAAAAAAAATCTTTCGGACTGAAGCACCCCGACCAATATTAAATCCTGGATCCGCTAGTCCTTGAGGTCCAAAAATCGAAGTAGATATAAATTAAGCAACAACTATCGATTCATTCAAGGGAAATTATTTTCGATGTAAATATTTTCTTCTTCAATTATTATATTTATATATGCTTTATATATGCATAATTTTCATGTTTTCAGTAAAATTTCAAATTGTTAATTTTATTATTAGTTTGCCTGGACAAACGTCTCCCTTGGAATACACATACAAGACTGTAAATACAAGAAACTGCTCGAGGTTTCCGACTACTTCAACACTTACTAGACAAACGCTCTAAACATCCAAACTAATTACCAAACTAAACATTAATTAACATTAATTATCCAAACTAAAACAATAATTATCCAAACTAAACATCCAACTAATTACCAAAGACTCATATACATGACTATAATAAGGCCTATTTGGACTTACGTGATCGAGCTATGGGGCTCTACTAAACCATCAAATACTCCTCGTGTCCAATCCTTACAATCCAAAATCCTTCGTAAAATTCTCAATGCACCCTACTTTATCACAAATAAAATAATCCATAAAGACCTTAAAGTTCCATATGTTCCAATCCAGATACCTATCCTTCCATAATAAACTTCGTGACTATCCGAATCCTTTCGTTTCTAACCTTGCTTCCTCTGCGATTCCTGATAATCCTTCGAGGCGTCTGAAAAGAAGATGGCCTCGTGATCTACTTATATAGACATATTATTAGAATGCTACCTGTGGGTAGTTTCTCAACAAGCGTTTTCATGTAATTATATTAACACATTTACTTTGCAATACAGTTGTAAATATCTTAAATAAATAGTTAAAAACAATATGTTAGTTTGAAACACTAGCGGATCCAGGAATTCATTTTGGGGGAGAGGAGGATTCTGTCCGAAAGCTTTTTTTTTCAATTATAACGATAATTACTTTGGAAGAAAAAGGAAAGAAACTAACTATCTACACGAAATGGTGTTTAAATTATTCTTGAAGTTCTATTAAATGTAAGCGTTTTTTCATATATATTTATTTCTAAATCTATAATTATATTTGTTAATTCAGAGAGAAATACTAGCAAGAACTTAAAAAAAAAATTATAATAAAATAACTTTGCAAATTAGCTTCCTACTCCGGTTGTGGAACACAATTTTTTATTTCAAAACTTTCTGCGTTTCTAACGATCTAAAATGTCACTGATGTATAAGAAGGAAAGTTCCTTAGAAATAGAGGTCACCCACAAAGATAAGTTCCTTTCATGAACACAAAAGGGCTTACAGCAAGTAAATTAAGTGAAATTAAAAACAAATAAATATCTCAACATTTCCTGTAATTTCTCTACCACAAGCGGTTAAGAAATTAGTGACAATTAAAATAATTCATTTAATAAAAGCATATTAAAACATTTTTATACTAAAAATAAAACTAAACAACAAATAAAATCTTTCATTACTTATTTCTTAAATACCATTTACTTACCAATAGGTGAACTGAGCCTTAGGTTCTGGGTGTACTCTTGGAGTTTGTCTGTGATGAGGTAATTCGGGTTACTATCGTTCTGTAAATATAAAAAATGTATATACATTAATATCAGAACATAATATTTGTGATGAATAATAAAAACGTAGCATTGTTATTTATGACACCCGTTTTTTTTTTGTAGCCATTAAAAAATTAATATAATTATTATCTTATACTTTAACCAACTTAATGAATGACAAATTTTATTTTAAAGTGCAAAAATTAATCTATGGTTATCATGTTTACTTTTATTACAGCCCCCGTAAAACTTTATTAAACGTGACCTATCAAATCTGAAAGCCCTCCTTCAGTTACAACAGATCACCTATTTTCTCCTCTTCCTCATATATACATTACTGAAATATTAGATTTATGTAATTATTTATCGATATAAGTTCTACATACTGACAACAGTTGTTCCATTCAGCCGTAGAGGGTCTCAAATCCTAGTCCGTGGTACAGACCACTTTTTTTCAAATTATTAACATCCGCTTGAAACTTCGTAAATAGCTTCATCTCATCGTAACCTACAAATATTTTATTAGCAAAAATTATGAAAATTTAGACATTTTTAAAACGGAGATCGGAAAACGTTGTTTATTTAATTAGGCACTAAAAACGTATGAATATTTATTTGCATTTTATTAAAATCGTAAGATAATATGATCACAAAATCTGAAGAAAAAAATGTGCCCTACAAAAATATTGTGGCATTTGTCCTATGTAATCCCGTTATTTTAACTATTTCGGATTGAACTTAACCGACGATACGGCCAATTATACAGACTGCTGACTAGAAAATCTCAACTTTCAATTGACAACAAATTACTGATCTACAAGACAATCCTGAAACCTATTGGACCTATGGACTTGAACTTTGGGGGACAGCAAAATTTTCTAACATCAAACGCATTTTGATTTTCCTTCTATAGATGGAGGGAGAAGGCTGGCTTGGGGTTCCCTGCCTGATTTTATATAGGTATGTCTGTGCTTTTATGTTTTTAATTTACTTATCTTTAGGTTATTTTATTTTTTATTGTACATAGTTTTTTTTATTATTATTTAGTTATTATTTTACTTTTGTTGATTTTATGTTTTCTGTATATATGGTGTGAATGTGTTCATATATCACTATAATTATTGTCCAGGAGACAGAATATTATATTTCTAAATAAAATAAAAAAGTAAATAGACAAAATGTGCCGATCTCCTGATTGAAAACGCCCCAATTCCGAGAATTTTCGTAAATATAATATTTGTAGGTTAAGATGAGATGAGGCTATTTACGAAGTTTCAGCCGGGTGTTAATAATTTGATAAAAAGGGGTCAACCAAGCAATAAGAAGGGGTTGTACTAAGGACTATCCAGTTTGCTTTTTTGGAAACAAAGCATCGAGCGTTAATTAAAATTTTGACATTAAACAAATTCCTGAACATATCATGCAAGTTCCAACCAACTGCCAGATAACATGAACTCGGTTTCATTTGTTCAAAGTAATGATGAAAACATAGGATTAATAAATAATAAAAAAGCAAACATTTAACATTAAAAACCCATTAGATTGTCTGCGTAAACAGAAAAAAACATATGTAGTTATAAATTACAGAAAAAAATTGTACTAAATACAATAGCATAAATAGTGAAAATGGAAAACAACAACAAAAAGCGTGTAAAATATGGGCTGCGGTTGAGCTATAAATAAGAGATGCTAGAGCTTGCCAGCCTTCTCAAAGGGATTCTCGGGTATTATTAATATTTTTGGGGGACCTTTCCAGCCCTTATTTATCTTATCTCACCCACCTCTTCTACACCCGCTCTCTTCTATTTCGCCATCTATTGTCCAATTGTCCTCCGTAATGGATGGCCGGTTAAGATATCAAACCATACCTTCGCCTTTGTCCTCTTCTGTTTCGGTTAATATCGATGGCTTGTATTAGTCTTAGAAGTCAGAAGAGCGATAAATAATGGATAATTATAATAGTAATAAATCTTAGCGAACCCGGAGGTTCAATGCCGACACGATTAACAATCGTTGACAGTGAAGTCCCTCTCCTCTCCAGGTAGTGGCGTAAATAACACCAATGCAATCATTTACAGAATCATAGGCAATGAAGACATCAGAAGAACTTTGTATTTATAAAGGACAATTATATATGGCATCTTATATATGTTAAACTATAAATATCAGGATTTAAAATTGATAATTAAAAAAATCAACATCAAACCAGTTCGAAATTTTTATTTGGAATTTTTTAAAATAATTTAAATATTTTTATTAAGAGTGAGTTTTATTTTTTATCATAAGTGATAAAAATAATATCCTGACCATTATTTTTGCATAAAAAAATTACAATTAACTAACAATATTAATTCTTCAGTTTTTATATTTTCTATATATATGGTGTGAATGTGCTCATTTATCACTATAATTATTGTCCACGAGACTGAATATTATATGTCTAAATAAATAAATAAATAAAAAATTTAAAAAAATTCTTGAGTAATAATTTTTTTAATCAGAAATATAATTTTCTATAATCTCTATAATAAATTATGAGTCTGGAGTAGTAGGTGGACAATATTGTTGTCAACTATTAGCAACAGAATATTTTTATTTCCAAAATTCATTAGAAATTTTCGGTTACAAAAAATATATATCTACAGACTCCTTTTTATTGAATTATTAATATCCGGCTGAATCTTCGTGAATAAGTTCAGCTCATCGTCACCTATAAATATTTCATTTATGTAAACTCTTGGAATTGGGGCGTTTTCATTTAATTTAGTACTAAAAACTCGTGAATACACATTTGCATTCCACTTGAATCGTAAGATAAGTTGATCTCAAAAAAAAAAAGGTGGCCTACGAAAATATTGCACTGTTTGGCGTGACTAACACCGCAACATTTCAAAATAACGAGGTTATGTAAGACTAAACGGCTCAATATTTTTGTAGGCCACTTTTCTAATCGATTTTGAAATCAAATTATCTTATGATCCAAGTGGGAAGCAAATGGATATTTACGAGTTTTACGAGACCAAGTTTGCCCCCCTTCAGATTGAAAACGCCAAGAGTTTTCAGAAATAAAATATTTGTAGGTCACGCTGAGATGGAGCAATTCACGAATTTTCTGGCGGATGTTAATAATTCCATAAAAAAGGGGTCTTTACCATTTGCTAATATACAAGTATATTGTGCACAATTAAAGCTAATTCATAAATATAATATTAATATTGCATACATACATATTACATATTAATATTGAATTGAATTTGTCTGTAAAAGGTGATTTTTATTTTCTGATCCCTTTTTTTATCACAATTAAGCCATTATTGTTTACGTAAAACTCATTCACAGTGATCATTATTTTAATCGAATCGATAAACATCCAAGATCTATTTATATTTGTATTAATAAATCAGGCATGATTTTTAAATTAATAATCAAATATAATAATTATTACATGATTTTGTGGAAAAATAATTATAGATTTCAAACCCTGATAATTATGTGATTTAACTACAAGAATGCTACAAAAACGTCGAACGTCAAAATATTACATCAATTGACACATTTCATAAATTTGTTTTAATGAGAATAAAATTGATATTATCCATTTGTTATGAGTCCAGTCTAATGTGTAATTAATTGATACGACGTATCGGAGCACAGAGCCGTGAAAGTGCATGCATTAACACTTATGGAGGAAATGATTTATTTACGGTTAAAAAATGGTAGCAAATAGTGAGTGTAATCATACAGTTTAGTCTATTTAAGAGTTAATTTGAAAAATGATGGAAGGCAAAGCAGTATCTAGAGGGTAACGATAAATTTGTTAATTTTTTTCTGGTGAAGAGTGGAAAGCTCATAGGAAAAATAGTTTCACTTATTCTCACTACATCACTGTTCTTCAAAATCCGCTACGAACAAACTATTACTATCATTAATCTTAATTTTATTTTCCCATACTTTTATTTTAGATAGTGAAGATTCCAATGACATATTCGGATAATATGTATTTTAGCTTCCTAAACCGTTCTGGAAGCAGCGGAGAGTACACAGACTATACGTCTCTATTAGCAGACAGACAGCCTGGCATGGAGCGGATATAGGCTACTGGACGAAGAGGCCACGACGTCATTATGCCCTGTCAAACAAACCTCTTCCAGTGACAACTTCATCTTTATTATAAACTAATCAATGAGACGCCATATGGACAGTAACCTTTGTATATACAACTATATAGGAACTATAAATTTTTATCAAGAAACAATTTTGAAAATCGAACAATATTTCTAATAAAAAAAAATTACAGCAGTTCTGCGCATGCGTTAGCCCTAGTTAAACATACGTCAGGTCGTCTCTTAAAAACTTTCAATTATCAGTGGCAGTATACAAGCTTAATGTGAACAATTAGTGTTATCAGTTACATTAACAATTACGTTTGATACTGGACAAAAAAATAAGGTGAGTAATCACTTATTTACAACACAAGAGTGAACAGTGTAAATAGACCTTAGGTTAGTTAGATAACGGCCAGCCATAATACACATCGTTAATCTGACTAGTGGGCTGGAGCCCTTCGTCGGAAGCAGACCTGCGTTCTCCAAGCGCGCGTCTATATTTTCGTCTTCAATAAAAATTTATTTTTTTCATCGCCTCACTTTTATCAATTTTTCTTTTAAAAAATTAATATGAAATGCGATATTATCACATGCTAATGTCGAGTAAGGGCAAAAACACTAGGTCCAGGAGCCTCGATACTACAATTAGTTCTCCCATTAAAAAAAAGACAAGGCATTCAAAAAGAAACACTCCACCAGCCACACCAGGGAGCTCCATAGAAGAAGTTGAACCCCAACCTGGCTCCTCACAACAACCTAACAATTGTGAGACAACTCAAGCTATGGGCGAAGAATCGCCGTTTTTCACTTCGAATCCATTTGAAGTGCTTTCAAATATAAATAACGAACAAATGGAAGCAGCATCAACCCCCAGAGAACCTAAACCCCCACCAATATTTGTTAGAAATATTA